GATGTGTAGCTCCCGGCACCGATTTATACTGTAGTCGCACCGGTAGTGACGTCATGGCTGTCGCCGGCCAACGAGTTGGTGTTTTTTCAATGTATGCTTCAGATACGAGTCACGACGAGGCGTTCCCCATAGCGACCCCTAGAGGACGCAGTTCGAAGTTCCCATGAAAGGGAACAAAAAAACATGTCGTTCCAAACCCATAAAAGCTTTGTTCGTCTTCGGAACACAACTTAAGATATTTTGGATGAAAACCAGGAGGCTTGTGACTGTCCCATTGACTTCCAAGTAAATTACACTGTCAAGGTCCAGAAAAGTATGAAAAACATCGTCAAAATAGTCCATCTGCCATCAGTGGTTCAATCTGAATTTTATGAAGCAACTAGGATACTTTTTGTACGCAAAGAAAACAAAAATAACAACTTTATTCAACAATTCGTCTCCTCCTGAACGTAAACTGTGTATACTGTTCTACTTGTCTGTGTCAGCCGCACCACATGGATACGTTTTCTACGTTTATTTACACTTTGATTTGAACGAAAAAAGCTTATCCGTGTGGTGCGGCTGACACAGAACAGCATATGCAGTTTGCGTTCAGTGGATACTCTCCGAAATGGCGCTACGGAGATGAATTGTTGAATAAAGTCGTTATTTTTGTTTTCTTTGCGTACAAAAAGTATTCTCGTCGCTTCATGGAATTCAGATTGAACCACTGATGGCAGATGGACTATATAAAGATGATGCCTTTCATACTTTTCTGGATCTTGACAGTGTAATTTACTTGGAAGTCAATGGGGCAGTCACAAGCCTCCCGGTTTTCATTTAAACTATCTTAAATTGTGTTCCGAAGATGAACGAAGCTTTTACGGGTTTGGAACGACAGGGGGGTAAGTGATTAATGACAAAATTTTCATTTTGGGGTGAAGTAACCCTTTAAGCATAGAAATGTTAACAAACCCCTAATTTTGAAGAGATTACTCAAAACTGAGAGTTCACTAAAACTGACATTTTGTCAATTACTCACCCTCATGTCATTCTAAACTTGTATGCACTTCTCTCTTATCTGACAATATTCTGAAAAATGCTGGAGTTCAAACAACCTCAGACCCTACTGACCTTCACTGTATTGCCAAAAAGCACTGAATTTCTCTCAAAACATCTTCATTTGAGTTTCACAGAAGATATAATGCACAAAGGGTTGGAATGACAAGAGGGTGAGTAAGTGATTTTCAGACAGAATGTTGATTTTTTTTAGGTGACCTATCCCTTTAAGCATTAGCAATAGTTATAGTGACCACTAAAAGAATATGTAATAGCATTTAAAACATTTCATTAGCTAACTAAAATGCTGTGTTAAAGAATGCTGCTATAAGACTGAACTACAGAGAACTGAATTACTTCAATAAGACGAGGTGGTGGGATTGAGAACAAATAGCCCCATGGTTGAAGGTTAACACTACATGAACTAGGAATAAAAGCATGGATCACACTGACGGGAGGGTAAATAGAGCTATTGATCAGAGCAGCAGACAACATGGCAGCACCTCAATAGCCGGCAGGTGAATCTGGCTTCTAAATGTTCTCCTATAGCACAATTAGAGAACCATAATTCAACCAGACATCCCCCAGAACCATTTCTAATGCAGTTACACACACACATTCGAAACCAGAGTTCAAGGATAAAAATGATCATGACAACAGCAAGGCACAATCAAAGATTCTTACAGTATGCTACTGATGAGTTTGAGTGACACTTACGGTGTGCCTGTGGTTTTAAAACCTGCTCCAGGTCTCCCAACATAGTGAGTATAACCTCTTTATCCAGATGTGCCTGCTCCTCCCTGGCACTCTCAAGCTCCCAGTCTCCTCCAGTGCCCGCCGGACCTGCCCGGGGGTCCTCATCCGTTTTTCTACAGCTGCCCGCTTTCTCCACCAGCTCGGGCTGCTGGTGCTGATGTGCAGGTGCCATCCGGTTGGACTTACAACCCCAGGGCACAGGTATAAGGGAGTGTTCGGATTGGGAAAGCACCTTGGTGAGGGACAGCGAAAGTGACCGAGCTCGGGTGCTGCTGTCGGGATGTCTATGGGCACTACCTCGGCCATGTTGGGGCGAGGGCGATGAAGACGATGTCCCTGAGGCTGACGAAGGTGGGCACGGTGGTTCATCCAAGTCAAAGGCATAAACCCTCTGCTCCCCATCACTAAGTAGCACGAGATTGCCAAGAGAACGTTGCTTGCGGAGGTTTAAGTTGTCCGGGAGAGGCTGCGGTGACTTGCAAGGCGGGCTGCTGCCCTGGAACACAGAAAACTCGGCTCCTCGCTTCATATTTTCTCACGTTCTTTAGGATCCCTAAACACTTTTTCTTCCTTATCTTGAAGTTAGTTCCTCCTCACATGATCTGCGAGTCTCAGGTGGCTGCTGGCACACACGCTCAGTCGCAAAGCTGCCCCTTGCACCAGGGAGCTTCAAATATCGTCCTGCCCACACACACGCTCGCTCTCCACAGCCAATAATCAGCATCCAGGTGCATGCACTGAGAGCATACTCCTCCTGTCTTCCTCCTCTCTTTCTCTTCTAACACTTCTTTCCTTGAATGCAGCACGGAGGCTCGTGTGAAGCAGATCTGCACCAGGTTACGGTTAAATTGTTATACACGTCCTTCACAGCATTTCTCCCTCTTTCTGTTTCTCTTTCAGCGACCGAAGACTCTTCACACACTCTGTCTATTAATTACCGGCTGGAGCGAGCGCATGTGGTTCGCTCCAAGGGACAGCAGCAGAGACTGAGTGTGTGTGTGCACTCTGAGATGTAAGCTCAGGGTTTGCCTGCTCCTTTTAACATGCTGTGAGCTGCTTCATTCTCTTTATCTATCTCCCTCTTTCTTCTCTCTGTTTCTCTTTGCAACAATGATGGCTGGTTTCCTGTTGCTGTTAGCTACCGATTCAGCACACACCTTCACAGCAAAACAGGTATTTGTGTGTGTGTGTGTGTGAGAGAGAGTGAGAGAGAGAGAGAGAGAGAGAGAGAGGTGGGAATAATGTATGACAAAACTGGCTTGTAACACTGATCTCTCCTCAGACTCTCTTCGTACTGGAGAAGGGTGTTAAGATGATACATTTGGAAATGCTGCAGCACACAGCTTGACTATCAAGGAAATGATGCAAAAAAGCAAAATTATAATTTATAATGTATAATGTATAATATAATATATCCCAAAATGAGGATTTTCAACCTTTACAGATCAGGATTTCAATCAAAACAGGGACCCCCAATATAAAAATCTAGATTTTAACATTTGAGACTTGAACAAATATTAGTATCATGATATTGCATTTAAAAACACAGGCACAAATGACTATATTATATCTATATTATATGTTATGTTAATTACATTATACATTATATTATATTATGTTATAATGTTTGTTTTTTCATTCACTGACTCCAGACAATCTATTGACAAAATGTCTTGTGTACTATTTCAAAATTAAACAGATTTTTTTTTTTGTAAAAATCCCAACACTGAGCTAATAGGGTACACATAATAGAGATGGTTACCCAAACCAGATTCCAGAAAATTCAGCAAATAAATGTCAAAACTTTTAGCAACACCACCCAACCAACCAGCCTTCTAAATGTGCAAAAACAGAACAGGTGCATGTAGAGATTTTGTTTTTGTACTTGCATGGAGTGGAACATATTTTACAACCGGGCGGAACCCACAACGCACTTCAACAGGAAGTGAGTTCTGAGGTTAACATCTATAAGTAGTCCATGTGAGGGTTTCCCTGACCGCATCACTGGCCAAACCACAGCATTTCAAACATGGCCAGATGTAGGAAAAGCCTGTAGACATGCTACCCAAGAGGAATCATTTCTCTGATGTTCCTATTTCACAGGAAAAATAAGAATCATCTCAAAAGTTTCTTTTAAAATAAAAACACACAAATTAAGGCAGTTGTTGGATCTGAAAAATCTGAGATTTTTGTAAGCCTCCATTTGATTTCCATTCAATCCCACCGCTGTCTACAATAGGTGACTACTGAGATAATAAAGCAATATCTCAATTGTGATTTTTACTGCTATGGTACAATTAATACTTTCTATGCATATTAATCTGAAAATTTTGATTGCTTATATCTAACATGCTTAATCTGTATAAATTGCATAGAAAGACTAACAATCTTGAATAACTGGATAAACTTTAGAGTTCCAATCTAGATGTACCACTTAGAATGTCTATTCATTTTATTTACTTTTTTTCATCAGTTTTCAGCAGCTCAGAGTACAATAACAATGTTATGCTTTCCTAACTCTCATCAGCCATAAACTGTCCCCAAACTCTCCCAATGCAATGCAAAACATACAACAAATGTCTGACCACGAGTCATAATGTTATTGCTGCTTCTAGATCCACTTGCAAACAACAATGTCCCTCATCTTCAAAATGACCACAGCAGGGCTGCATTCTCATTGACGTGCAAACACTGACCGCTTTGTGCTTATGTGTTTGTGTCTGCAGTTTATTCACTTTAATTTGACATTCCAGGCATTTTTGTGCAAGCTGGAACACTAATTTATATCTCATTAAAGAAGAGTTGGCTGTTTTGAGGAACGATTTTCCAGTCGAGTTTGTTTTGAGCTGTATTAGATTGTTAATTACGAACAAAATGTATTAAAGTAACAACAGGGAACCTCAGGGATACACACAAGATGATCAGATCCCAACCTGATTAAAACTATTATTAATGAAATAAACCAAGAGGGACATAGCGACAGTGGCTGTGCTGATAAATATGCACACAGGAAATGAACAACTAGGAATGCATGTCATAGTGCACCCTCCAATTCCAGAAACTGCAGTGCAGGAAAATGCAGCATTTGCTCACAATTTGCATTTATTTCTCACAGTTGCTCGCCGACTGGTTGTTAAGAGATGTGTGCGAGCAGCGCCTGAGCCCCAGGCAACTATCTTCAGCTATCAGCTGTCACATCACAGTCCCACACACAGAGAAATACACACAAGCACAAATAAACAACACATTCTGCAGCCTGGCCTCCCAAACAAGGTCGGCCTTTGTCCACCTGTCATATCTGACCTTTTCTTGCTGCGATAGCAACATGGAACTAGTGGCCTGCAGAGAGAATCTGTGCCTGTGTTTTGGCTTCTGTGTGTGTGTTGGGCTTGTGTCGCTCTCTTATGTCTGACTGTGTGAAGGTATTCGTGTGCACATGTGGCAGTACTCATCCTACTGTACCTGAGATCTCCTCCAGGCACTGTTTGGCGGTCTTGCTGTAGACCAGGTCTTTTGTGGGACTGAGATATGGTTCAGGGGGGAACACAGTTGTGCAGTCATTCTCTGAATATGTCCTGAGTGAAGCAAACGGAAAAAATACTTAGCATTTTACACAGAGTAGATTTTTTTTTGCATGCATACAGTCAACATTAATTTTGCATTAGATCAACCCAAGTTCCTTTTATTGTAAACGAAAGCACTCCTAAAACAAACAAACAAATACACAAACAAACAATTAATATATATATATTTTCATTTTCATGTACAGAAAATGATTTTCGTATGGCTTTAGTTTCAGATGTCAAAAGGTTAAACTATTATAATATATAAAATAGTTTATTACATATTATTATTATTATTACTGAATTAAATATAATTATTTATAAGAAACTACCATTAAAAATATAATTGTGTAATTTTAAAATTAATGCTAGGTACTATAGACTAACCATACTACTACAGACTAACACTAAAAGAAAATAAAAGCATTTTAACTATGGAATAAGTCATAGATTAGTGAATTTATGTAGCTGTTTTCCTTATAGGGTTTTATAGGTTTGAAAATAGGTTTGTCATTGTGAGGACACCTTTTCCCCAAAAATATACCAAAACCTGGCAAACACATGCAAACACAATGCTGTTCAGAAAAACTGGGTATATGCATAACAACCACACCTACAACAAGGCCATCCCAGGACACCTGCACTCACCCAGATAAACATTCCCTCTCTCTCCCTCTCACACACACAGTCACACACATGCAATTCACCAGCCAAATATTTCAGTGGCATGTCACACTGGTAGTTTCACCATGTGTCCCACACTCATGCCATTGAGACGCTGCATTACCTGTGAAAACAAATACTCACACACGCACACACACACACACACACACACTCATAACTCACACAAACTCTGCCTGTAAATAAGCAAATGATGCAGAACGGAAGAGGGCTTAAACTGTCAGGTAACTTCAGGGCTTGTTGAGCTGAATGAACTCATTAAGTGATGAAACTGCATAAAATAAAACAGACGTATTCAACAGAAGGTCAACTAAAAACACACGTTATGGGCAATAGACACGTTGTTTAGTCTTTTTTAATATAGTTTTCAAGCAACATCACTGAAGCTGAGAGTGTTGATGTGAGGAGGGGCGGTGGACGGGTGGTCAACCCACTGTTCTTCATGCCAGTGGAAGAAACATACAAAAGCTCTCTTCCAAACCCATGTGAGCTACCCACCCAGACAGCATTTTTAGGAATCATCACTCCCAACATAAAGGCTCAAACAGCAGGCTGCTAAATTAGACTGCTTTATCTTTGGTGGCAGTATATAATAGGATAAGTAAATCCTAAAAATATATTTTATATTTTATTTAATACAGAAAAATACTGAATAGCCTGATAAATCTGTGTGCTGTATTTTTGTGCCCATTTATTTAATGTAATAAATAAATACATAAACCTAATTTTCAAAATTGTAGTACAGAAATGAAAATGATCTCAAGCTGACATTTTACATTTTATTATTGTTGTTGTTTATTTATTTTTGCTCTCTTGGAAGTTTGCTTCTTATGAAGACAGCAGAAAACATGGTAGAAAATATAAATTGTTATTTAAATAATGGCAATGGTAAACACTACTATTGCAATTAATTAATTAATTTAATTTGTAATGTGTAATTGACACATTAAATTGGTCAATGCCAGTAATACCTTTATAATATCACAAAAGATGAGCTGCTGAAAATTCAGCTTTGCGATCACAGGAATAAATTACATTTTAAAATATATTCAAATAGAAAATGGTATTTTAAATTGTAATAATAATATCACAATATTGTTATTTCTACTCTATTTTTAATAAATTATGTGCAGCCTTGATACGAGACTTCTTTCAAAAACATTAAAAATTCTTACCGACCCAAAACCTTCGAACAGTAGTGAATATATAATTACAATTAAACAATTATACAAAATACAGTTCTGAGGCTGGTAATGCAACATCCTCAACTCACATGCTCTTGTCAAGCATGCCAAAAGGTTTGACCCTAGGTGTAGTTCTAGGAGCATGATAACCATGTCGTCTCGCACACCCGTTGAGTGCTGACGCAGCCCTGCCGGTTTTACAGTGTCAAGCAAAGCTCTCGAGAGGAAGATCTGCAGTGGTGAAGAGGAGTGTGATAAGGGCTCCAGTTTAAAATTCCATAAAGACTTTAGGTTATAATCCTTATGAGATGGCACCGAGAATGCCAAACACAAAAAAATGCCATCGTCTTCCTGTGAATAAAGTGGCAGGCCGGTAAGGAGGTAAGTGTGTTTTTATGAGAACTGTTAAACTCTTAAGGTTCAGTTTGTGCAGATATGTCAAGGGTTACTGGGTTTGAGAGCTCTATATTCAAGCAAAGGATTAAACTAGCTACTGAACATACACAATCACTCAAGGACAAAACCCTTTGACTCTCGTTTTCAACACTCTCATCTTCGTCTTTCATGTCATTTTTTTGTCTATCACAGGCCCATTAACACTCGCTGTCTCTTTAATAAGCTGACTCAAACTGTTATGAATGCCCTCTGCCCATCAATCACATATTCTCTTTTCTGTTCCCACTTCCTCTTCCTCCACTATAACCTATTCACCCTCATCAGTCTCTTGGTGAGGACTGAGGGAGGCCACACCCCTTAAACGAGGCGGTCTGGCAAACAGCTCAGCGGTTCCCACTTGGGCTAATAATACTGTCGAGATGAGACATTTACCCGCTGTTTTTTCTTACAAAGCATTGCGTGATTGGATAGGTGATACAAGAGACAGATGATCAGTGGGTGTGTGTTTGTGCATCTAAAAGCTGGTTTGATAATCTATAGATAGATTGCTGGTTCAACATATATTTGCCTGTAATTAACGATGCTTCATGATGCTCTGCCAGCCTCTGTGTGTAAGCGGGGTCTCACTTCGCCTGGTCAAAAAAGGACTCTTGTCTAGACAGTCTATACTGTAAAGGATCAATTCTGTTAACATCACCCCCCACAGTCAAATTTAACAAGACATCTTCCAAATTTCCCGTTCTGCCTTCAAAGTGACAGCAGAGTAAAGAAATGATTGATTCGAAAATGACTGAAACCCCGGTTGCCTGCATAGAAACATCACTGTGCAACATGTCGGAGCATGTGCACTTCCCACCAGGCCACCTCTAAAACATTAATTTCTTTCTAGATCTATCATGCAGAAATGACTTTCCACTTATAAACAAAATTTATATATTTTTCTGTATTATTTATGGTGTATCTTCATGATTAGTGATTATGAATGGTTACATTTGGTTACACCCTCTACATTTGGTATCCGAGATTCTTTAAAGTATCTGCCTGGTTAGTGGTGTGCAGAATAAGTAAAAGATGAGGTAATTATTCTGGACCTCCTGGGGATGAGGGTTTAATCTTTGCCTGTCTATTGAGGGTAATTACAGAGACATGGTCCTGCTGTCTCATGGATAATGATAATGATTTCACAACCCAGAATAGAACCCAGGAACCCAGATCTGTCTGTTTGTCTGAGTCTTGCCCTTTTAAGTCTCTAAGGGTCATTGGACATATAGACCCCAGTAGCCCTGCTAGGACTAGAAGTCAGCTGGGTCTATGATGAGGACACAGTAAGGTTGAAGAATGACCAGCTGGCATCTGAGGGATTTCTGTCCAAAAACTTTAGCTCAGAAATAATTTTATCCAAAGGGACGAAGTACACTGATCACAAGGAAAGCCCACCTGCCGTTAATTATCTTGCTAGGGCACAATGATAAATGTTAAGCAACAGAAGTGGGATCTTATGTACTTTTCTGTGATTGAACGTGACAGATCCAGATCTGTAATCATTAAGCTGCAACCCACAACTTCAGCAACCATCATTCACAATGCAAAGCAAGAGATCTGAAAATCCAACAATCATATGCATTTGTATTTAAGAATCACTCACCGATACATGAAGGGGGCGACGGTTGCCGTGTTGGGATGGTTGTGTTGTTGCTGCTGGGGAAGTTGTACTGTCCCATTACCTCCTAAAGCTCCTCCACCACCCAGCCCAGATGTGGCGGATCCAGAAAGTGCTGAGGTACTGGTTGATGACACCATGCTGGTCTTCCGATTCTCATATCCTCCCAAAGATCTCTGCATATATATAGACTGACTACCTTTACTAAGTTTGGTTTTCTCACCACCTGTAGCAGGTACACTAGTTGCAGGTACACTGGATTGGCTTGCTGCAGGCTTGGCGGTTGCTGTTGGAGCCTTCAGACCAGGCTTGGGGATGCTGCTAGAGGCAGGGATTGCACTTTCTTTCTTCACAGAGGCTGCAGAAGTTTTGCTTCCTTTGGGGATGAGGCTGGCAATCTTGGAGCCTTTCTTAGAGGGCTCCACTATCACTGGCTCCTCCTTGGGTGGCGTGCTTGCTTTGCTCTTGGTCTTGTTCTTGTCCTCTTTGTCTTTGGGCTGTGGCAAGGACTTATTGTTGTGGTTCTTGCAGTTGTTGGTCTTGTTTGGGGGTGTAGAGGAGGATGCGGGGGACTTCCCCTGCTGTTTTGAGATCCCGCAGGGTGGTGTGGGACTGCAGGTCCCCTCATCTCCAAACTCCGACAAGTCATCCTCCTCCTGGAGAGCCATTTCAGCCACTGAGGGTGAGGTTCTGGACGCGGATCTAGGGTTGATGAGCCGGAATTTATCCAACATGGAGCGCTGGTTTCCGGGGGCTGATTTGGAGGAGTCTGTGATTGGGGGCCGGAGGCGATCGGATGACGAGGGAGGGGATGGGGAAGCGGTTGGGCTGGGTGGCTTGGTGGCCAGCATAGACGAGGTGGCACTGTGCTTCATGTTCATGGATTTGCTTCGCCAGGTCTTTGCAGCAGTGGGAGAGGGGATGGCAGAGGCCAGCTGCTGCCCGCTGGTGCTGGAGGGCACCGAGCCACTGCCGTTCATGCTGCCTGGCAGAGGAATGCCCTTCACCGACTCTATGTCAGAGAAACAGACCAAACAGTGGACACATATGTTAGACTGATATAACTACACCCTAGAAGCAATACAAACTTTGTCTTTGGCAAGGAGGAAAATTATGACTACCACAATAATCAAATATTAGCATAAGTGGAAAGATATTGTGGGAAGGCAAAGCGTCCCACAAACACATGAGGAATAGATAGTGCTCAATCCAAATCTTTACTCTGCAATCCCAACGCATACTGAAATCCCAAGCAATGCGGCGATGCACTCAGGCAGAAAATTGGATCCTAAGTTGATTTTGTGGGATTTCAAATACTTTGTTGTTGCCAGATACCCTCTCTTGTTCTTTGTAAATGCAGTGATATTTTGTGAGAAATCAACACGGCTCACAGGATAACATATATAAACATACTTAATATAATATAAATAGATCATTTTAATGTGGGGGAAACATAGATTTATCAAGCCTTTGAGAGCATGACAATGCAGAAATCCTTTAAATTACAACTTGTCTGGGCCTTGAATATCAGTCCAGTGATGATGACTTTCAATTGCTAAGCTCAGGTCTGAGACTCAAAATGCTTTACAATTGTAGTGTATATAAATTTAATTGCTTTGACTAGGTCTCAGTGGATTATACATTAATGACAAAACAGTTATGATGTTTTGAGTACCGTGTAAATACAATGCATATGAATACAGTAATCAAACAGGACCATGGTACATACCAAAATACCATGGTACTATCTAATTTCACCAATGTACCATGGCATTGTCTCCAGTACTTCTTTGTAAGGGGAATGCTAATGCTCAGAATGTTTTACAGTTTATGGGCGAATCTCATGCAACTAGCATAATCATTTATTTTTATTTAAAATAAAATTCTAAAAATAAATAAACAAATTTGCAATGTGACATTATATTGATGACAAAAATAATTCCTGCTCTAATTCCAATTACTATAATATAAAACATTGGTATGTTGCAGTAATGAAAATTTAATGAGAATCCAAACTGAGAATTATGAAAATTAAAAAAACAAAACAAAAAAAACATCCAGACACAATAAGGAAATGTGAATTTGAGTCATAAATGTGTTTAACTGTAATAAAAAATAATGTCAAAAGGAAATAAAGTGAAAAATAATCATTTTTTACACTAAAGACAGACAGACAGACAGACAGACAGATAGATAGATAGATAGATAGATAGATAGATAAAATATACATGAGGACATAAGTTACACATCAATGCTTCTGCTGCCGTGCAACATAACAAATTACAAGTAAATCTACTTAATCTTACAGCAACTCAGGCTGCCCGAAACACAAAGGAAGAGAGGAATAGATGGGACTTCATTTGGTTCCATTGAAAATCTAGTAGAGTGAACAGTGATTGGACTGTGAATGAGCGCTGCGTGTATCCGGCTTCAGTGCATGTGTCAGCTAAATTAACCCCGTCTTTGGAGATAATAGCAGCTTAAATAACAGCCTCTCTTACACACATGCACACACCAGACCATCGAAACATGGTTACCATAGCTACCCTTTTCTCCACACCACTTTATATGTTGAAAGTGAAATACCACTTTGTTCTGGGAAGTCTGATAGGATGCCACACACATTTCAAAACAAACACATTAACAGGTATGATGACAAACATGGCATTGAAGATCTTCCATCTTAATCCACTCTTGTCTAATCCAGAATGGACTGCATTAGTCATTTTCTTTGCCTCTGCCTCTTTGTTATCTCTTCTCCCCAGTTCTGATATATCTCTCCCATCTTCGTCACAGGTGCTACTGTATGAAGCTATGCCAAAAGTTCAATGAATGTACTAAACAACACTGATTTCCTTCAAACTAATCCAGGAATTGGACACAGCGCTTTTGAAAGCCTCCTGGACTGAGCTAATGCTAGCAAACATGCTGATTCACTCCTGCAGCCTGTGTGAATGGTGAAATTTGCTTTGTTATACAAGACTATTTAACATGCAAGTGTTTGTGCCCACTACCTTGGCACAGGGCTTATAAACAGTGTGAGATTTGCGTCCATAGAGAGGCTTTGTGCTGAAATACGTAGGTGATGGTAACACAGGGTGCTGACAGATTTGAGGTTAAGGATTAAATCAGTTAAAGGTCAAACTCAGGATTATTAAATTTGTTTTCAAGCCTGCCATAAAATGAAATACTACAGCTAACTCTGTTCCAAAACCTAGTGAGCTGCCTAGTGGGCTACAAAGGCAGCATCCTTCTGTCATGAAACTCCAAAAGTGACTGATTTTGAACATTCTGTGTAGGCAGCATGAAGCACAAATGAGACTCAATTCACAATTTATATTTTAGCATGTGGCTAAGCTAACAAAGTTGATACAATAATTAAAGAACCGTGAACATGTGAATGTGTTGTTAAATTATTGAAATATTTACTTCAAAAAATATTCTAGGTCAAAGGAATTTGGCTGACAAAAATGTGTAAATCCCTGATCTATTTAAACAGGGACAGCCTGAAATCTATATAACTGTTGTTAGAAATTATGCTTTAACAGCACATTTCAAATCATGAATCAAATTCTACAACAATCGTATCATGAAAACAGAACATGTGATACTGCCTTAATGTACAATCACATTTATTGTTGTTTTTGTATGCAAAATTCAGTCATTTTGGTAGAAATCCACACAATTTCAATGTTGAACGAGGGCGATGGATTTCTTCCTGCTGATTTGGCAATGGGTTCAAGTTGACCAACAGAAAGATGATTGGTTTGAAAGCTACTCATATGTGAATTTTGCTTCATACATCGCTACAGCATCAACAATATACAACTGACCTGTTTTGCCTGCAAAATTTCACTGTGATCACACCTTTTGAATTTGGCCAAAACATTGTATCTCACACAAAATAATTTTTTGGCCTACTGCTTGGAACAGCCTTTGTGTCAACTAAACACCTACGATGCCTTAAAATGCTAGGTAGGCAGCTCACTAGGTTTTGGAACAGAGCTCTATTCTCTCCCTACCAGCCCCTCCCATAGTTTCTCCAATGCAGCAGACTTTTTGGACAGAGGAAAAAGGAAGATGAGGGAAAAAAGGCAGATGGGAGTTTGCTTTTCTCATCTGTGGAAGTATTAGCGCAGTAGCCCTGTAAATCAAGGTTTTGAGTAATGTTAGGCCCGATGGAAAAGGGCAGGGATAGGTTTCGAGAGAGACGTTGCCTATTAGGACTCTCTGATTCATCAAAGCTCCCGTCTGCCATGTGAGACCCTCTGTCTGGCTTTGTGTGTACTGTCTTGCCCTCTCCGTAACCAGTGTCTGGGAACACCAGCATCTGTGCTAAAGTCCGGTATAAATCTAGCTGGGCAGTACAGCCAAAACAAACAGTCTGGGAGGGAAATCGGTTACGTTTTGTTCACTGATCGCCACGGATCCTTGCTGTGAGGGGTGAACCAGGGGCGAAATACGGGTCACACATCTGTGAACTCCCAACCCGACTTCAATCGACACACTCCATCAGGTCTAGTGCAGATTTATGAAGTAACCAACTTCAAACCTGTGGAGATTTACACACTGGTGGCTAAATAGCCATGTGGTTTTATGAGGTCAACTTTGAATGATGGTTCGGCTCTGACAGGAAGATGAAATCTGAAGTGAACTCTGAATAGGCTGGTTATGTGGAAGAAGTAGAAATATAACATGAACGCCATCTCCAAATATATTGGAGGAGGACAGTGAATGGCGATGGCAGATCACCGTTTCAGATGTGAATAACACACCAGAGAGGAACCACAGTGCAATATTATACTTTAATTTCACAGGAAATTGTGTTTTTCCACAGATTTATGTCATTATGAAAATTTAATAATAAATGCATGAGGGAACCACCTCAGAGCATCCTGCCCTATGCCACAGCGCTATTGTTCCTGTGATAGTGGCACCATCTAGTGGATAACAGGATATAGTTGTTGCTGTTTCATTTGAGTAATATGCAGACACCTTGATTTAAACATTAAGATTCTGTTTATTGCTCACCTCTGTCATTGCCGCTAGCATATTGCAGTGGTTTGCTCTTGTCAATACTGTTGAAGCTCTGGCTCCTTCGGTTCAGGTTTGAGGATCCGTGGGCTTTACTACTGCTACTGCCGCTGCCTGCAGCGGGGACTTTGGAGAGACCTGGTAACCTGTAACACACAACACACATACTCATTAGTTTGGGTTTCAATCACAGGACTTTATTAAATATGAACTGTGTGAGCTCACATTATATCTTTGATAGACACACATACAGACCACCTGGGTTATTATAGTTAACTAAAACTAAAACCATAAAAATCATATACAGGTGCATCTCAATAAATTAGAATGTCGTGGAAACAGAATTGAGACAGTAATAAAAGCAAAAGGAGCCCCTACCAAGTATTGAGTACATGTACAATAAATGAACATACTTTCCAAAAGGCCAACAATTCACTAAAAATTGTTGTTTTATTGGCGTTATGAAGTATTCTAATTTGTTGAGATAGTGAATTGGTGGGTTTTTGTTAAATGTGAGCCAAAATCATCACAATTAAAAGAACCAAAGACTTAAACTACTTCAGTCTGTGTGCATTGTATTTATTTAATACACGAGTTTCACAATTTGAGTTGAATTTACTGAAATAAATGAACTTTTCCATGACATTCTAATTTATTGAGATGCACCTGTATATTCAAATATCAAATATTATATTGAAATATAAAAACCTAAAATTAAAAATGACAAAATACAACAAAATTACTAAAAATATAAAAATAAAAACATTCAAAATATTAATAAAAAAACTATGGAGTATCTAATTATTCATTAATCTATTCATTCATTAAGTACTTCCTTCTGTGGACACATTTGACCTTACAGAAAGGAGCAATGTGAAATTTTATTTATTTATGTACTTATTGATTTATTTATTTACTTAAGAATTTATTCTTCATCAGCTGTAAAGACATTAAATATTGTGAATATTTACTTAAAATGGAGGGTAGTCATATATTCAGCTGTATAAATTAGAGCTTTGGTAATGCCTTTTGACAGAAAACACACTCACTTGTTCGACAGTGAAACATACAAGCCAATAAATGAATAACATTTAACATAATGATTTGACTAGTGTCTTCTAAAACAGCTAATTTTTCAAAATGACAACACAATAGACATCTCTTAATTGCTCTAAAATCTGCAATAAATCTTGCCTGAAGTGTGTGTGTGTGTGTTTCTTTGCATTGTCTTATGCTGTATTCATAATATTGATGATTTAATTGTGAACAAAGCTTGTTAATGACTCACGAGTGCCAGTTTTTAATTGGTAAACACGACCTTGTGACACATCAGCCTAACAATGGCTCATAAACATGTTGCGGGGGAACAAAACAGCAGCAAGTTAACATTCTTTGACACTGACTCTGTTTCTTACAGCTGATTCAATTTCACACCAAACAGAGTTGTTTCACCTTACTCCAATCTGATTATGCCAATAGCCAATTGATTTGAACAAATCAAACTGATGATCTAATAAAGACCTAGTTATATTTTATATATCTGAAATTCCCATCATCATTTGAAATTCTCATCACTGATCAAATGTTTTGAAAAGTCTTATCACACAGAATCAGAGCAAATAGCTTTCCTAGAAATTATGGATTCAGGCAGTTCAGGTGCATGTCTCATCAAGCCTCTAATGACACTGCTTCATCACTCGCTTATTTCCCATCAGGCACTTCTGCTTTTCCCCATTAACCTGTTGTGCAGACCACCATAATATGCAAGCTCTGATAAAGCATATCTGATGATTTTTCTCAAACAGGTTATTTTGGTGAAAATTGGGATGGATATCAGTGTCTCAATTGAGGTCGGGGTCTGAATGGAAGACATTTAGACGGTAGACGTTTTAGTTTTAGCAGGCCCACACAGAATCAGTGTCCTTAGAGTGTGCTGCAGATTCCTGTTGGGCTTTGTGTGTTTGTTTATTAAATATTCTGACTAATTTCATGCTTTTATCTATCAGTAAGAGTGCGTTACTCTCAGATGAACGTAACACATTTTATCATGTTAAAATCTGCAGAATTCTACAGATTTTTCCGCTAAATGTACAGAGAAAACATCAAAAGTGAGCAGATTCAGTTTGGTCTAGTTCAAAGATGCAGGCAACATCTGACATCAGCAAAACTTAGACATTTGGTTTTCTAATTTGGTCTTGAAATGTTCCTTACACTATGATTTGCATAAATATGTATCATGTATATATTCACAAACACAAATATGCCTGTAGAGGATAAATTTAGTGCTTACCAGGCATCTGAAGACAGAGAACGTTGCTAAAATAGACCTGAATTAAAGCTGTGGTGTGTAATTTTTTTTCTGTGCTAAAAGACTTTATTCTACCCCGACTTATATTCACAGACAAGTATGACATTTATAGGTTGATTTGCCTGAAAAATCCATGACACTTTCAAAGCATTGCTCTTCTTGAGCATCCCAACCAAGCCGACACAGCAACACACTGGGGCTCAACCAATGGCATGAGTTGGAGGGGGGGGTTTACCGGGTTTTTTATGACACTGGTGGCACAGACATATATTCTGCTTTAAAGTCTGAATCTGAGGTGGTCAGCTCCAAGACCAGGTCTCTGGATCTGTTCTTGTTTATTTTAGGGTAATAATTAAAGTGTCAATGGGGCTCAGATGAAAACCGGAGTTCAACTGTGAAGCATCTCAACTTTTGAATAATCACTGAATTTTAATAACGCTTCACATCTTATCCAATCTGTGTCCTGCATGCATAAAAAGGCCTTATGGAAGATAAAATCTTTCAAATTATGCCTATTAAAATGTAGAGCAGGATGTTTAAGGATCAAATAAGACTGCTTCTGTCATCTCTTCTTTCCAATTGAAGTACACTGAATATAACTGAAAGTTTAGGATTCTAGAGGACATCTAATATTATGCATTATTATCTATCCTGCCTTCCTTCTTAAGAAACAAGATTATAGGTTATTACAATGTTCTATCTAACCCAAATTACTGCACAATAATTATGTGTTGAATTGATAAATTAGGCCTCAGACATAGAGTTTCATATGCATATCTCTGAAGAAACAAACAGGAGTGTGTATTTTTGTTTGTGTAAATGTATATGTGTATTAGTGGCCTTTGAAGCCTCATGTCAATTCAATTGAATAAGAAATAAATACATGATATTGCTGAAATTAAATTAACACTGATTAAAAAACTGATTTATTCATAAATGATAAAACTGAATAGAACCCACCAGCCTATCACTGGAATATATTAAATATTAATTAACTATAATTAAAAACGTGTCTCAAATTCCTTAATTGGTGATCATTCATTTGTGAACCCACAGCCATCCAAGCATCAAAGCCATTACTCCATTTGCCATTACTGTCACATGATCCTTCAGAAATCATTTGAATCTGCTGATTTGGTGCACAATAAACATTTCTTATTACTATCAATGTTGAAAACAGTTTTGCTGCCTTTTTTCAGGATTCTTTGATGAATAAAGAGTTCAAAAGAGCTAAAAAATTTTTATAGAAATCTTTTGTAACATTATAAATGTCTTTAATTTCACTTTCAGTCAATTTAATGCCTCCTTGCTGAATAAAGGTTTTAATTTCTGAACTGACCCCAACTTTTGAATGGTAGTGTATAGTGGTCATCTGGGAGAAATAAAAGTTAAAAAAAAAATGCCATTAACAATTCATCCATTTTTACAGTTTACTCTGAAGATTTTTGATATAAGATTTATCTGTTTTCTGGTGCCTCTAACCCAGGCATTCTCACTTGCAACCACCAATAAATCTAATTTCTGATCCGATTTTCAAAAAAGCTATGGCCAGTTGTGCAGCCCACTGATGATATTAGGTGTGAATGTCTCTCTGCATCTTTATGCTGCATCTAAACATCTACATAATAAAGTATACATTACATCTGAACTTAGGATGAGACCAGAGTCTAGTATGAAAAAACAATTCAGGTCACTGACCAAATGAATGTCTACGCCTAACATTTGTATATCAGTGCTTTGAGAGAAGAGCCCAGATCTCAGATCCTTCAAAGAAAACTGCAGGCACATGTTCTCTTTGAGCAAATAATGCCATCTGTCGAACCCTACCCATCAGGCTGTCAGTGGAGTAAGCACTATATCATACATAGTGTCCATCACATATCTCACATAGTTTGGCCAGGGGCTGCTTGAAATGCTTTGCCAGCACAAAGCTTCCCACCAGCTCTGAGATGAAGCAAATGCTTTCAGGGCCAAACAACTATTGCCTGGAGCTTGAAACGGCAAAAACCTCTGAAATAAACCGCATTCAAGATCTAGGTTTCATCCAGCACTTTCTGCATCCGTTCATCTTGAATCAACCAAGCTATTCAGTTCAAAACCCTCAGAAAAGCTCCAGAAAGATTTTTGAAATGTGAAAAAGCCAGACTAAAGTTGAATTTGAAAGTTGAACGGATACCATCAGCAAGCATTTCTATCATCCACCACTTCCATCACCCAGATCTGTTGCTACAGCTTTTAACATAAGTAGATTGGCTTTCCCAGTCTCTAGCCTGAAGGTCTGCGGAGAGTTTCAGGTCGCAGAACAGAGCGAGAGCAGGCAGATACAGTTGAAGACTCTACCTTGTGTTTTTCTTCTGAGGGGCTGCTATTCCACTGTGACCTGGTGGACTTGTATATCGTGCGGTGAGACTGTAAAGAGGTAGTGGGAGAGAACGAGAGAGAAACGGGAGAGAAACAGAGGGAGGGAGAGAGAGAGGAATGAGGTTAATGATTGGATAGAATTTTTTTTTTCAAACTGTGGCATCTTTCTCTCTAATGCAATAAGGGCGGCACTTAGCGAGGGCTTGGCGCACACATGCAAACACAAACAGCATGGCCTCTGTGTGCGCCTACTCAGATTCACATGACATGTCACTCGTCTCAAACCACAAGTATGTGCATTTCCTCCAACTGTCCTACTGTTCCAAGCCAAATCACAATCTTCATAAACCTGTACCTTCAAATATGTGTTTGTGTGAATACAGTGAGAGCTTTATTCTCAATACTGGTGAATCATTGATCGGTTTAGATTGGCCTCCACAACAACATATAACTCAAAGAAAGAAATCCCATTTGACAGAGAAGATATTCCTGTTACTCCAGTCACAATATAAAAAAAATAGACTTATCCACACACTCTCTTTCACACACACACACACACACAAACAAACACACACCTCTTTCAGGAATATTTTACTTGAAACCTGTATATACTGTGGCCACTGATTATACTGTTTTTTTTAATATGGATAAATAAATACATCATTATGCACTGTTCAAAAGTTTGGGTGAGTAAGATTTTGCATATATATTATACATTTACTGAGCAAGGATGCAGTATATTGATCAAAAGTGACAGCAAAGGCTTTCAGATTTTAAAGGTATCTTTACACATTCGTTTGAACTTTCTATCCATCAAAGAATCCTGAAAAAAAGTATCAGAAATTAGTGCATTAATATAGAATTCAATACTATACATATATATATTGTTTAAATTGCTAAAATATAATTTAATTCTAAATCAAACTAACTAAACTATCGGTTCTTGCTACAATTTATAGTAATATTTTCATGATTTCTCAGAGGTCTGGTTTCAAGTATAATTCGCTTGAAGTGGTGCTTTATATAACATTATCTAGAGTAATAAGTGTGAATGATAAATCCCCTGTGATGTCTGTACTGGCTACTGTATACAGGCCACCAGGGCACCATTCAGACTTTATCAAATAATTTGCTGATTTTCGTTAGTGCTGGCTGTAGATAAAGCCTTAATTGTTGGTGATTTTAAAATCCATGTTGTAAATGAAAAATATGCATTGGGATCAACATTTATAGACATTCTGCACTCTATTGGGGTTAGACAACACATGTCAGGACCTACTCATTGTCATAATCATACTTTAAATTATAATTTAATACTATTACATGGAATTGATGTTAATGGCGTTGAAATTCTGCAGCAGAGTGATTATATCTCAGATCATTATCTAGTCTTGTGTTTACTCCGTATAGCTAAAGCTGCAAACTCAACTCCTTGTTACAAATATGGTAGAACCAGAGGCGGACTTAAACATTAGGCAAAGGTAGGCGACCGCCTTGGGCCCCCAAAAGCAAAGGGCCCCCTAAAATGCTTTTTATATGCGAGATGCGCATTCAGTGCGGACGCGCAAGTGGTTGCGCTGGTGTTCATTACCACGACAACCGTCTGTGCGTCTGCGCTGAACGTGCTTCTTAGCAAAAGTAGGGTGATATAGAAAATGGGGACGGAATCCCGGAATCTATTCATAAAAACGGAATTTACTGTGTAACGCGGAATGTGACAGAATGAACGGCGCAGATGTGCGTTTCGTTTGCTATTTAAGCACGCGCAACACTCGCAGTTGTCGTCTGTAGTAGCTAAATAGTATTTTTGCCATTTAATATTCACATACACTAGTCCATATCGCGTTTTGATTGAAGTGTACTGAATTGCATTTGATTTATTCATTAAATATTTGACGAATTCCGTGACATTGCTCGTTACACAGTAAACTTCTGTTGTGTAGCATTTTGAATGTACAAAAATTAAAGGGTTTGTTTAATTTTCATTGGAATATAAGATAGATTCATGTTTTTGCCTTCATTTGATTACCAGAAAAATTAAAATACACAACACAGAATTTCTAAAAAACAAGTAAATAAAATTAAAATTTCATAGGGCCCTATAATTGTATACAAATTAATAAATTAAGTTGTTTTTATGAATTCAATTAATTTGATATGTTTTTGATTAAACCATTCAAATGGAATACAGAAAAATTAGAATGGAAAGCACATAATTTGGGCCCTAAGAATGTAATTTTTGTTAAACTTTTAATGTAAATGTATTAAAAATGTAAACGGAAAAAAAGTTTTAGGAAAAAATAAAACTTAGGCTAATTTGGGAAAAATAAAACGGATTTCATAGGGCCCTACAAATATCATGCATCTGAAGCTATAATTTTAATACTAAGCAACTATTTTAGTTTTTTAATTTTCTAATTACTCTAATACTATTATAACCTGTTTAAATATGAACAAGGGATTTACAACATTAAAAAAATCCTTTATTTATAACATGTACATGAAAAATCTAAAAGATTGGACACAACTATGTGGCACGGTCGTGCAGCAGTGAGCATCAGTGAAAGAAACCTCAAGGTTGTACATGTGTGAAATTGTATAGGACCCCATTCCTGTATTTTGCCTGGGGCCCCCAAATCATTAAATCCGCCCCTGGGTAGAACCATCATTTCTACAACAAAATACTGCTTTGTAAATAATCTTCTTGACTTGTCTCAATTCCTCAGCAAATCCAATAGCTCAGAAAAACTTGATGGTATAACAGAAACTATGGACTCTCTCTTTTCTAGCACTTTAGATACGATTGCTCCTTTATGCTTAAAGAAGATTAAGGAAAACAGGCCGACACCGTGGTATAACAAGCACATTTGCGCCCTAAAGAGAGCAGTCCAGAAAATGGAGAGCAGCTGGAAGAAAACAAAACTAGAGGTATTTCGCAGTGCATGAAGAGAAAGTACTTCTACTTACAGAAAAGCTCTGAAATGACTAGATCAGCTTACTTTTCGTCTCTTTTAGAAGAAAACAAACACAACCCCAGGCATTTATTCAATACAGTGGCTAAATTAATTAAAAATAAAGCATCAACAGGCACAGACATTTCCCAACAGCACAGCAGTAATGACTTTATGAACTTCTTTACTTCCAAGATTGATACTATTAGAGATTCTAACCATGCAGCCATCAGCTGCAGTATCGCATCAGATAGTCCACTATAGATCCCCAGAGGAACAATTTCACTCATTCTCTGCTATAAGAGAGGAAGAATTGTATAAACTTGTCAAATCATCAACAAAATGTATGTTAGACCCTATTCCAGCTAAGCTACTAAAAGAGGTGCTTCCAGAAGTCATAGATCCTCTTCTGAATATTATTAATTTGCCATTGTCATTAGGATATATCCAACAATCCTTCAAAGACTGCACCAACTAGACGGCCATCGAAACAAGACCACAGGAACCAGATAAGTCCTCTGCACAATCTGACCTGTGTTGCAGCCTGGAACTAAACCACATCATGCTGGTTTCGTCTGACCAGAGGAGAACTGGCCGCCCGACTGAGCATGGTTTCTCCCAAGGTTTGTTTCTCCATTTCTGTCACGAGTTTTGGTTCCTTGTCACTGTCGCATTTGGCTTGCTTAGTTGGGGACGCTTAATTTCTGGCAATATTGTCGGCTTGATTGCATTAAGGAAGTGCTTTACCATTACTTATTGGAAGTGAGATGAACTAGATGATGGCATCACTGAATCATCAATGAACTGACTTGAATTGAAAAATGTACTGTTTGATATTGTCCTCTTGCATTATTGACAAACTATTTTGCAGTTTGACACTGTAAATCTGTACTGTATAAAGCTCTATATAAATAAAGGTCACTTGACTATATCAGCTATTTAATGGCTTCAAAAGTAGTTCAATCAGATTTTAGAACTAAAAAAAAAAAAATGACATACCTTATATTATGAAAGATATGCACTGTGTCTGTTTTAAAGGTTTAACCATGAATATATAAGTAGCATATGTAGAATACCTACAATTACTGTGAAAATACATACTGTAATGTACAAGACATTAGATATGCTACCTTCAAGTGAAGTCTTATCCATTTTCCTTATATGTTTGGCCATTAGTACCATAGATGTGACATGTAAAGTTCATGTAAAGCCTGGAGGCTGGAGTGGCTTTCCTGCAACACTTGATGCATTACTGTAATAAACTTCATGCAAACATGTTTTATAGCTGTTTAGGTGAAAGTTCTAGAGGTTTCTGAACTGATCTCTGTAAGGGCAGAGATGACCCTTGCCTGAGGCTGGGATGAATGAGTGCAATTTGTCAGATCGAATATATATGCTGGATGGAGGCCCTGCCAGTAGGACTTGTACTTACAACACACACACACACACACACAAAACAAAGCACAAGCACCCCAGGCCAAAGCACAAAACACAGAACAGTTGGCTATACAGGTCTCAAAGCCATCAAATTACTGATGGCTGATTGACACTGGCTTTGTTCATTTTGGGTGTGCGCTTGTGTTTGTCTGTTTAGATATGGTGTGCTAAGCTGTTAATGTGCCTTGACAAGCTTTATAGCAGGTTTGTAAGCACTGCGTGATGGAACGAGAATGTCTGTGGATGGATGGAAGTTGATTAAAGTCAAAGTATGAGAGCGAATGAGAAAAAGGGGATGTCCCGTTTTCAATGGTTCAACAGTTACAGTAGGAAGACCTCCATCTAAACTGCATCTAGGTGGTATTACCATCTGCCATGCTGGAAAACAACAGCTCATTTTAGCTTAAGATCATAAGTAATATTTGTTGCTAATCCAAAGTGGCCTACCACCAACAATCAGCCTGACCAAGATGGTTTACAAGGTCAAAACCAAGTCTAACAGGTGGAAATCAAGCTGATCAACCATCTACATCATCTCGGAGCAGCTAAAGAGCATGAATGACCAGCTTAGACCAGCAGAAAACCATGTAAAACTTGACGCAACAAGTTTTTCATAAAAAAACGTGGTGTTCCATGCTAGATAACCCCAACCACATTGAAATTCAAATATATTCTGATTGGCTCTGATTGTGTAATGTGACATCTAGTTAGGACATAAGATAAAACAAGCAGCCATCTGAATTCCAACCAGCAAGATTCTTCCAAAAATGTCCTTCCAAAAGCTGCCCATAGTGAAAGAAAGGTGGGTGTGTATCCTCAGAAGGAGATCATTATGACCACCATGAACGTTTTACTTTAACAAGTTTCTACGGCAAGTGCGTGACAAGGAGCTGGCTTAAAATTACAGACTCCCTCAAGTGAAACCCTGAGGTGTAACAAAGACTTCACCAGACTGGGAGAACGAGAAGAAGACAGTAAAATAGGGAGGCAAGACAGCAGGTTAACAAGCATTGTAACCAAAGACAGCTCCAGCGAGACACTAACACTGTCTTTCACTCTCTCATTCACTCTCTCTCATGAAAATGTGATCATGTCCACATGATTAATGAGGCCCATCATTTCTCCTCCAGCTCAAAGAGGAATTCAGCTGGGACAGGATGGTTGAAAAAAAAACACTCCTAACTCTACAACTTTCTTTCATTTCCCCTCACAGTCTAGCAGCATAAATGTATGACAGTGGTAGGTCTGACAATCTCAAGAATAAATTTGTTGCCATGGGACATTTAGACATACTTCACAGTGAGAAATCACACACAGAATAACTCCGCCAAGGTCACTATTCAGAACATATTAAAATGAATCTAAACAATAAGGTTTAGTAAGGATTGCAAACTCACTCACTACAGTTTCTCTAATAGAAATCAATAAATCTCAAGATTAGCCTACCTGCTCAATCTAAAAACATCAAAATGATAAGGATGCAAATGAAATGTACTTTTAAAAAAAAAATGTACACAACAATGTAAACAACTGCATTTGTAACATTAGCATTGTGACTAATCAGTGTCTGTTCAGAAAATACCTTAATTGCATTATAATATACAGTAAAGTACATTAGCTAATTATTAGTTTCTTATCTTTATCTTAGATTAAGTGTCATATGTGCTATGTAATGTGTATGTGAGTGTGTACACACACACACACACACACACACACACACACACAATCTTACCTTTAAAATGAAATATATTTTCTTTAGCAGTACTTCACAAGTTCTGTTGCAATAATACTGTAATACTGTATGACTTCCCACAGCAAAAGACAGGAAGCAAAGAATGACCACCCTCCGTAGAAGTTTTAAAACTAAGAGAAGCTCAACAACCCATAAAAGAGTTTAAACTTACCTCCCGAGAGAGAAACATCTCATTTTCAAAGCAGAACAGACAACTTCCAAAAAAAGGAACTAAACACCTACATTTAAAATGTAACACTTTGGACCCAGAATAATGATCAAATCTGGAGGGACACAATAGCCTCAATACACAGAAGAGCACAGACCAGAAACTTGTGCCATAAATGATAAAAAAACTACCAAAAACTGAACAATAACCATATGGTTTTCAGACAAAGTTCCTGTGTAACCCAGATATGTAACACGGTCAATACTACTATACCTATTTCCGTCAACCTTTCTCCCATATGACAATCGGCTCTTCCTGTCCCGTGAGTTGGGGGCAGGCAATCGTGAGCATGAGACCACCGAGTCAAGCCGTTCACCTCGGGACATGGTGCGCTGAGAGGGAGGGATGATACTTCACCCCCCATATCTTCCCCAGACCTAAAGGCACCGCAATGTCCAGCTATCCCTCTCTCTCTTTCTCTCTCTCTCTGACCGTCACTCCAGCAGGTGTTGGCTATAGAAAGCTTGGATCTCTAAAACTGTAAATGGGAGCATAGCTTATGGGTAAAACCAGTCAGTGTGTGCTATAAAAAGCTCACCCCTCATTCCCTGGAATCTCAGACAGTGTTGTATTATGGTATTTAGATCTTTAAAATATAACAGATACCCAGCTGACTGGGTGTTAAAAGGGAATTTCTTATACCATGTTCTAAGTAGTGCTAAAAGTTATGTAAATCTATGTATTTTCACTAATCGCAGTAGAATAAATAAATAAATAAATAGATTGAAAGTGAAGGTAAATTTATTTATTTACCTTTATTTAACCAGGAAGTCTCATTGAGATTAAAATCTCTTTTACAAGAGAAACCTGGCCAAGGTAGCAGCCATACAGTAAAACAACATTTTAAAATACAACAAATACACATTAAAACAATATTTAAACATAATATCCTCTCAACAAAAACAATCACAAGCCTCAATTACCAATCTCTTTATGATGCCTTTAAATTCCCTAATAGACACAAATTTATCAAGTTTTAGATCTTTTTGCAAATTATTCCATGCCCAGGGTACATAATACGAAAATGCAGTTTTCCCCAGTTCTGTACAAACTCGAGGTACGTTAAAAAGCAAACACTTGGGAGAGAGTTGATGGTAACTGCCAGAACTAAGACAAAAGAGGGTACAGAGATAAGGTGTAAGTTTACCTAACATTGCTTTATAGATAAAAATGTACCAGTGCTGTTTTCTACGTATGTTTAGTGATGTCTAACCCACCATCTCATATAAAATGCAATGATGAGTACGGGATTTTGCATTTGTAATAAAACGTAATGAAGCATGGTACACTGAATCAAGGCCCTTTAAGATGGATGAGGCTGCATGCATGTATACTATATCACCATAATCAAGCACAGTTAGGAAGGTAGCTTCTACAAGTTTCTTTTTGGCATTAAAAGTAAAATTATATTTATTTCTAAAATAAAAGCCAAGCTTTACTTTGAGCTTCCTGAATAAATTAACAATATGTACACTGAATAAAAGCTTATCATCAATCCAAATTCCTAAATACTTGTAAGAGAATACTCTTTCAATAATTTTACCATCAAATGTAAAAATACTAAGATTATCAAGTACTCGTGACTGAGCTTTTGAAAAAACCATAAACTTTGTTTTCTGAGCATTTAAAACTAATTTTAAGCTCACCAGAGCACCTTCCAATGACTGAAAAGCAGTCTGAAGCTCTTTCACCGCATGTGTTATAGATGGTGCAAGTGTATAAATAATAGTATCATCAGCATAAAAATGTTTTTTTGCTTGAATGTCATTACCTAAATCATTTATATAAATAGAAAACAAAATTGGTCCCAAAATGGAACCCTGGGGAACCCCTTTAGATATATCAAGAAAATCTGATTTGAGATCCTCCACATGAACACACTGAGTTTGATCTACCAAGTAATTTCTAAACCAATTCAACATCCCTGGTCCGAAACCAACACTGATAAGTTTGTTTAGCAGCAATTCATGATCCACTGAATCAAACGCCTTGGATAAATCCACAAATAATGCTGCGCAGTGCTTTTTTTAATCCAGGGCACCAATAATATCATTTATCACTACCATAGCAGCAGTAATGGTACTATGGCCTGTTCTAAATCCAGATTGAAAAGAGTTTAAGATATTATTATCAAATAAAAACAGTTTTAACTGTTATGGTAGCTAATGGTAAAGACATCTACATTGTTACAAAATGATTTATATAAACCACATCAGCATATTAGAATGATTTCTGATCATGATCATGTGACTGTACTGTATATAAGAATATCTTCTCACTGGCTTTTGAATGGAATGTCAGAAAAACAGAAACATTATTTAGCACCAGCAACTTGACTTACTCAGGACAGTGTAAGGAAGACCATTTTAACCATTATTACACAAAGATAATCAGCCAGCTACCCATTTTAACACCTGTAACCCCAAGCCAGTAAACGTTTGAAGAAACACTTCCTAAATGCCATACAATAGCTTCCTTTTTACCCGACTGTCTGGAGCTGGACAGAGAACTGAGACAGTTATCTGAGAAGACTGCGTTTACAACATCCTCCAGGACTGCGGCCAATCTACAGCCTTCCTGGCCCAATTCTGCTCGCTGATGTCATTTGGTGTGTGTGTGTGTGTGTGTGTGTGTGTGTTTCAGGCTGGCAGTCCAAGGCCCTCTGAACACCTGTCACTGCTGGATGTGAGTTGAGAGCGCTCTCACAGGCCCTGGACAAGAATGAGGGGCAGCTGTTGTCTTTCTTTCACTCTCTTCCTCTCTTCTCTTTGCACTTGTGAATGCTGACAGAACAGAGAACTCAGCACTACAAAACGCACACTCGTGCTTTTCTGCCTGTCCCACACACACGCAAATGCATTCTGGGTCAGATAACGTGAGCCAGGCTGTGTAACGCCACTCATGTGTGGCATCTCCTCTTCATATCTGGTGCTATGATTACTCATCTATTTACATCACAGTCATGGCCTTCCTTTTCTACCAACACACACACACACACACACACACACACACACACTGTATACAGAGGCGTTTACTGTTTAAATGAGAACATTGCAGAGACTATCTACTGTTCTTATATAGAAATATTTATAAATACTATAACCTAACCCTAACCCACACCCTAACAGAAAACTTTCTGCATTTATTTTTACAATTTAATAAATGAATGAATAATCACTTTATTTTGATACCATTATTACAAACAAGGATGTGCCCAAATGGAAGTTTGTTCCAAATTTGTAAACAAACACATACACGCTTTTATCTTATTCTGCCTTTCTGAAGTTATTTACTAACAATATGGTTGAAATTTATATATATATATATATATATATATATATATATATATATGTGTGTGTATATATGCCATGCATTTATATGTTAATGATAGATATGTTGTGTTCTTGTCAATAAACACTTGTGATGTCGCCAAAAGGTAGAGTTTTTGTGATTTTGTCAGGTTTAGCTTACTTCTGGGTGCAAATTTGTCTCCAAAATATGGTAGGTACACACATTTAGGTACATAGCCATTTATTTCATGATTAAAGATGCAGAAGTCAAATGGAGGAGCAACAGCAATAGAGATCATAAGACGTGTCCTACCTGGACTGCATGTCTTGTGTTTTGTGCTGGCTCGCTGGCACCGCCCCTGTGGTCTGATGTGTGACGTGCTGCTGAAGCTCCACTAACGACTGCAGGTACTGCTGCTGGTGCTGCTGTTGCTGCTTGTAGCGGGACAGGATGAAGAACAGACCCAGGATGCTCTTCAGATTCCCATTACACACCTCTGAAGATCAAACACACCAGATTTAGAAAATACCACAGGAAGAGCTCTTTAATCCTGCATTACATTGATGTGTTAAACCTTAAATACAGCATGTTTTTAGTACAGCATCAAGTGAGAATAAACCGTTGTTGTGTCACATGGCAGTTAGCCTCATCATAGGGAAGTTCAAGTTTTGTTTACAAGAAGCTGCAAATATAGGGCAGATAAGTTCTGCTCTGAATGAGGAAGTGATATCCTGTATGACAATATGCGACTGTCTGGAGAATCCAAGTTTAGCACGGTCATTTGACTGTCTGGAGTCTTGTGCGTCATAAATTAGATGTTAACATTAATAAACAGTCACTGAAACAATTAACTTTTGAGACCTTTTACGAGGATATGCTGATTCAATAAGTAAAACTTTGAAGTGGCGGATGGAGTTTAGAAGCCCAAATGCTATTATCCTGATTCAGAGACGATGCAAATGAGGTGTCCTATGAGGAATGCTTTTCAAACTTTCTTCCGAAATTGCAGTTGTGAGTTTGAATAAGTGCCAACACACCGTTGCTCTGATCACAGAGATAAAGGATTGAGGATGAAGGCGAAGGCATCGATTGTCTGTGCTCCGCCTGCCAGCGACGCTTTACTCTCTTGTGCCCTTTTATGAAATGGCCTTCATTCATACACACACACTGCTAATGGCTGGCGCTGAAAGCGACTGAAAGATGGTGGTGCTGAGGCAGCGCTAAAGAGAAGAATCTGGCTTCATTCTGACAGCCCGCCTGTTTGTTCTGCCCATCAGCAATGTTTGGGGTTATTAATCTACCCCCGGTTTAATTTGGGATCGTGCAGAGCTGTAATTTGTATTCTACATAATAAAGCAATCAGATGGTATGTTTCAGTTGAACATATTTTCTGGGTCAGGCAATAGAAATCTGGCATTATTTGGTGTCATTGCACTTTAGATCAATATAGAAAATGTGAGGCGCAATAATGTTTTTAACTGTTAATTCTGGAAGGTTTTGAATTGATTCACATTAAGCTATAACAACTCCCTATGATTTCCACAAACACTAGTGTATTCCGTTATAGAAAATAACAGTTACTAGTATTAGTACTACTGTAAAATCATAATAAATGATTATGGTATTTACTTCAAAGAAGGAATCTTTAGAATGTTTCTATAAAATCTAAATTTATTTTTTCATGAAAGTGCACTTATAGTTTAGTTACAGTTGTATTACAGTTTAGTTACAATTTTATTCATCAAAGAAAACTGAAAAAAAGTATCATGGTTTCCACAAATATATTAAGCAGCACAACTGTTTTCAACATTGATAATAATAAGAAACTGGAAATAATCATAAAGACTGATTAACTTTTGCCATCAAACAAACAAAATAAATAAATAAGTAAATAAATAATAAAAGAAAAAAATTATTTTAAATTGCAATAATATGAATATTATTACAAATATTATTAATATAAATTATTATTAAATTCAGTCTGGGTAAGCATAAGTAAGTGTTAAAAATAAATCTGTCTATCGACAGACAGACAGACAGACACAGACAGATAAGACAGACAGACAGACAGACAGAGAGATAGATAGATAGATAGATAGATAGATAGATAGATAGATAGATAGATAGATAGATAGATAGATAGATAGATAGATAGATAGATAGATAGAACTTTAACACTTTAATTGTCACAACAAGAAATAGTTAAGGGGAAATTATATTTTCTTACAAAATCCTCTTCTTGTGAGTGAAATTCTTGCACTTACATGAACCTGCAAATACTCTAGCTAACAGATCACGCCACATGTTTTGCAAACTAACACCTGAGCTAGGACTTAAATTGGAAACTTGAAAGTAAAAGCTGTCAGCAAATCAACACACTTTTAACAGAAGTTTAAATGTGGAGTCATTAGGCCTTGCTGTTACTAGCTGCACAAGGTCAAAAGCGTATCTGTTCAGACGGGCTCATTAAGGGAAGTGAGGACAGAGAAGTGTGAATACATTATCTATTTACAGTGATGTGCCCTTGACCACTTCCTCTATATACAGTAGTGTTCTAGCATTCCCTGGCCAAAATAGGCAGTAAACACTTAGGGGTCACATATTGTACACCTTTCTGGAGTTTTATTTTAGGTTTTGATGTCCTTAAGAATATATATTTGCGGTATAAGTACCAAAAACCATCTCAATATATTTTTTACAGCTCATCTCTCAGGAGCTCTGCTGAGAACAGGTCGATTTTGGCCTGTCTAATTGATATTCATGAGCCTCTCTTCTGATTGGCCTGTTGTTTTCTGAGTGACGCACGGCCAGGCCAACCACAGGTAACTAGGGTCAGCCGACGTCACAGCGCTAGCTGGAGGCAGCAAAACAAAGGGGAAACTGGAGGCGGCCCATTCAAACCAGCGCAGGTTCGGCTACATAAGGACCTTAAAATATCATCTTGTTGTGATGCTGGGTGCCAGAATCGATGTAATACAGCCTCAAATTAGAAATTTGATCGCATATCTGCTGCCACTGCCAGACAAAAAACCGATGACAGCTGTGGTGGACAGGACAGAAACGATTGTCAAAAATGCTTGCGTTTGCAGCGCACACTTCTTATCAGAAAAGGTTCAATAAAGTATTGTCTTTTGTTGTTATGGGCGCGTCTACAGATTTCTTGCCATATGTCTATGTTTCTTGCATCTCACGATTATGTAGTGTATGAAATAATGTCTGTGCATGTGTGTAAAACAACAAACTGACAATTTATATATAATCATTTGTAATTATATATACATTGTTGTGATTAATTGTGGCTGGAACAATAATGTAGCTGTAAAAATAGTTGCCTGCTTAAATTGAAACGTATATACATCTTCATCATGACTAGATAAGACACGGTGAGTTTGTCTTTACTATACATGTTAGATGTGATCCACCTCATAGTAACAATCCTGTCAGATCGTCCATCTTTTGAGTGAGAGTGTAACGTTACAGGTCGGCCGATCTGGTTTCGTGGTTAACGTTAACCTTTTTCGACTTGTTTCCATGTTGTTGTTGCTCAGTCAGCAATGGCATGGACGCGATGTTATCTGGGGGTTTGGCAAAAGGAGAGTGGGACTGTGGGCGGTGCTCGGGTGGTGACTGAAGGCGGTGACTGTGTAGTTCTGACGTCAACTTTTTTTATGGAAGTCACAATGGTTCGTGAAAAATCACAGCTACTTTATGCAGGCTGTGTGCATTTTACTGTGGACTGACTGTTTTAAAAATTGTATGGTAGTTAAATAGCCCCTAGAACTCAGTTATCGTGAAAAAAGCCAGGAAATTTCAGTTTTGACAATACGGGACCTTTAATACTTTGTTCAGAATTACAAAATTGGATTAGATGTGTATACAATATCATTCAAAAGTTTGGAGTTGGTAAGATTTTTTTAATGTTTTTGAAAGTCACTTATGCTCACAGAGGGTTTATTTTATAAAAAATAAAAACAATAATACTGTGAAATATTGCATTTTTAAATAACTGTTGTTTGTAAAAAAAAAAAAAAAAGTAATTTATTCCCATGATAGAAAAGCTGAATTTTTAGCAGCCATTGCTCCAGTCTTCAATGCCACATGATCCTTCAGAAATAATTCTAATATGCTGATTTAGTGCTCAATAATTATTTCTTATCATTATAAATGTCAAAAACAGTTGTGTATTTTTATCATTTTTGGAGATCAACAGCCCCCAGGCCTCCATTTCCATGTTTCACAGAAGAAAGCAAGACATGCAGATTTACAATGAGAGTGAATAAATTATGACAGAATTTCCTTTTTTGAGTGAACTAGCTGAGTGAACCCCTTTAACATAGCTAAGATTAGGAAAAGTGATTTCTATGAAAACAGGCTTCCTGTATTTTACATAGTAATGAGTGTCTTACAATTTGAATACCTCAGAAGGTCATGCTTGATCTCCTTTGACTTGTGAGGATTCTTTTTTTTTTTTTGGAGTGAAAGGATTAAACAGCTCAGCACCGGAAGTGCCTCTTCAGTTACGCTGAGTTAGCATGGACGACAGTTGCGTGAGTGTCTTCATACACGTGTGTGTTTCTTGTCATGGCGGGTTTCACAGTCAGGTCACCAGATTAAGGTGCCCCCTTTGACCCTGGCAGAAGTCTTTAAGACTGACCTGCTCTATAACAAACTGCACCTTTTCACCAGATCCTCACAGCCAATGAGATCAAAGCTCACTCTGTGCAAAGGTCACGGTGTGCCCTGCACTTAAAACCGGAGTCCCGCTGTGCGTTCTGATACCCTACACACTGTGAACAGGGAGTCACGGCCACCGCAGCAGTAAAAGGGATATTGAGAGTTTGCACCTATCATTATTGGGGAACTAAGGCTAGGATAACACTCAGCAGGGGTCAAGAGCAAACTTTCCTGGAGGACGATTTTATTGCACAGATGATGTGCTTTTATAGCGCAGGAGGTTAGGTTTCATTTAAGCATCAACTTTGTCTCAGATGTTTCTTAAAAATTCCTTAGTAGAAATAGAAATAGAAACAAACAACTGTAATTCAATCATGACAACTCCCGGAACATTTTAGCATGGTGATGGATATGACAATGTTAATGTATTTGGTCTTGGCGGAACAGATCTGCTACGCTGCTGCTGAATTGCTGCTGCTGTTGGTTATTGATGTAGTTGTAGATTATTGGTGCAAGCAAGTACAGGAACTTGCTACTGCCAATGCATATGGCGATACGGTGCCGTGAGTATTTAAGACATGATGCTGCTGCACAAATAGCATATAAACTATAGCATATAATATAGCAGATGTATACAGGTGGAGCTGGGGAAGGTGGAGGGTTTCAGAGAACTCTGAAAGCACGCTGCAGGAATCTCTAGTGAATGCTAGCCAGCCATATAAATGCAAGGCAGTAAGCTCATTGGCTGCATATGCATCATGAATCAATCAGCTTGTGCCAAGCCGTTTAACTCTCTGAATATCAGCAGTTACATTAACACCCCGTAAGATTGCGCCATCTAGAGTTTCATGACTGAACTATATACAGTATATATACAGTAAGAGTGTAAGTGCCATTCTACGAAACTAATGCAATTTGGAAAGGTGATTTGTTTTGAAGTACATTAATCATTCTATCAGTCAAATAATGGAATTAAGTGCTAATAAAATATCTGAAATAAATAAATTAATAAATAACATCTGAACTTATTATCTGACATTTTTTATTTTATTTTTTATAATTACTTTTTAATTTCTATATTTAAGCTTGCAAAACAAATTATACTCTTTTCATGGACAGAGCAATTCAATTATAGCATGACTGTATTAAAAAAAAATAAAAAATTCAGGAAACATCAGGAGGTGTGAAGTTTAATCTGCTCTAAATTTAATTTCATTGCTGTCTAGGAGAAATCATTTCAAAAGTTCAAAAATAAATAAATTCAACATTGACAGTAAAGAGAAAATTCTATATATATTACATATTGTCTGTGGCTTAGACATCATTACTTTTATATTCCTTGGAAAACTCCTACACACTCAGGCACATCAAACACAAAAAAACGACTTCTTTTATTAAGGCCTCGAGTCGGCATGCCTCATAAAAAACTAAACACAAGCGTATGCAAACCTTCAAAACCCTAACTCTGAAACCTCAGCTAATTAAATTAAGACAGCTACTCACAGCTTTAGGAAAGATGCTCAACAAACACACAAACACAGCCCTGTGGAAGCAAAAGTGTGTATGATAAAAGCTTTGAGAAACCCAATACACTGTATATTTATGGGCACTGTGCACTCATGGTGCTGAATTTAGCGAGACAGTGAATACAGTATCCAAGCTGCTTTAGGTTAATGATATCATTCCACACTGCATTTAGTACGCTTAAGCTCCTACTTATGCTAAAAAAGAAAATCAAGGATTGTCGATGCAGCAGTTTTAAGAAAAATGAAAGATCAGATTCAAATATCAACAGGTCTCTATGGGCTCAAATACTCAACACTATAACAATGATGTGATACTTAACAGTGTATGTATGGAACTGAATGAAAATGCAAAAATAATGTTTATGCCCCCTCACCACTACGATGCTAAGCCACTATGATGTGGTTTCTAACTTGTTCTGACGTTAATGTGTGTCTACGACAGTACTTCTCAATCTTTTGACATTTGAAGTTCCCCAATATTAGCTAATATATTTCCTCAGGCATTTCTATTTCTATTTTCTAATTATGATGACGCTGCTTGTTTATAAATTTTTTATTAACAGAAATTGGAAGCAGTAATATGTTGAATTAATTAAACGATTTATTAAAAGCATGCTTCTATAACATTATTAGATTCTAATTATGTATGTTTTTCAATAAACATAATGGTAACACTTAATAAGGTCCCATTAGTAGTTTACTTCAGTTAATGCATTAACTAATAATATGCAATACATTTGTTACAGCATTCATTAATCTTTGTTTAAATGTTAATTAATAAAAATACACGTGGTCATTGTCAGTCCATGTTAGCTCAGGTCTGTTTTATAATATTAACATAAACAAATTTTGATTTTAATAATGTATTAGTAAATGTTGAAATTAACAAAGTGCTTTAGAAGTATTTTTCATTATTAGTTAATGTTAACAAATGCACATTAGTTAATGTTAACAAATGGAACCTTATTGAATAGTATTACTAAAGAAATTGTTATTTAGGGGGGACATTTTCCAAATAAATTTCAAGGAAAATTTAAGCCTGCATCTTGATGTTTTGTGTTTATGAGTGTGTGTATTGTAAAATCATATATATGACTTTAAAATACACACACTCACAAACTCACACTTGAAATTGTAAACTAACCACATATTTGAGGTACCATTAATGTTCACAGTCCATCAAACTTATGATGAAGGCTTTGAAAAGCCCTTAATTCTACGTTTAAATGGTGATAATACTGACGCAAACGCCACTAATTAGATCTGTGTGCTGTATATGCAGGCAATTAGCAGTTGTTATCAAGTTTCAAGCAGACAGAAGGATCTTACCTTCAGCAGAGAGCCCTTGAACACTGACTCCTCTGGCCCCTAAGAAAATCAGACAAGCCTCCACATTCTCAATCTGAAAGACAAAAACAAAAAGATCAGCCATAGAGCAAACTTACCAGCACATGGTTTTGGCAGTGAGGATGTGGACGGTGTGTGTGAGAGGGCAGTGATGTCAGAGAAGTGGCTATTGAACCTCACACACACATTCCTGTCAGTATTTAGAGTTCAACAAAGCCTTTGACGCAGAATGCAATGGTTTCTTCAGAAGATCTCCTTCAGTGTATTTCAGCATGTTTAACAACTCAACTGGTGGCTGACGCATGCATGTCAACGTTGTGCGAGGACACGTTCATGGCCTTATGCCCACAAAGGCTCTATTGTCATGAGTCAGACAGTGTCATGCCCCCTGGCTAACCTTTGTGGGTCAAACTCAGAGTGTGGCACTGAGACGGCAGTGTGTCACACCTACACACAGGCTGACAGGCAGACCAGGCGTTACATTGTGGCCCAATCAAGGGCTGTAATAATACAACACTTGACAGAAAGTGTGGTAATATCCTGGCGCCTCCACTCATGGGCACACAAAGGGACTTTGGCCATGTGATACGCATGGCTCACATATTTTGCATTAGTGTAGGGCAGAATGCTGGAGAAGTCGTACAGTAAGGTCAGGGCTGGTCAATGGGCCAGACCGCACTATATTATTATGCGACGAGCGCAGTACTGTGTGGAATGCATTGTGCTGTGTGACAGAACCGAAGAGAGTTGACTCAGCTCATAAAGTACATGAGACCCTGAAGGATTGCTTCTGTGCACAGTTATCAATACTGTCCATAATACATAGTATCACAAGGAAAATGTCACTCTGCTGACAATTTCCACTGTTTTAATACTGTTTCAAAGGGTGATGTAAAGCCCCAGCTATCCCTTCAGATGATTGTGTAATATTAATATATAATACTCAGGTCACACTTTAGTTAGGGGACCAACTGTCACTATTAACTAACTATTAACGACAACTTTTGCCTCAATAAATTCCTAATTTGCTGCTTAAAAATAGTAAGGTAGTTGTTAAGTTTAGGTATGGGGTAGGATTAAGCAATCTAAAATATGGTCATGCAGAATAATGCATTAATATGTGCATTATTAATATGATTAATATGTGCATAATATATGTAAACAGCCAATATGCTAGTAATATGCACGCTAATAAGCAACTAGTTAATAGTGAGAATTGGTCCTTAAAATAATGTGTAAGCTATATTAATATCTAATACACACACAGTACCATAATATAGAATTTTATGCTTAATGTAATATTATTAGATCACCATTGGTGTATTTTTTTTCTGTCCATTAACATTAATTCACAACTCTTGTCACACTGTAAAATTAATCTTAGTTTGTTTACTCCTAATGTGTGTTTCATTAAGCTTCATATTCAATTCCAGCATGCAGAGTAATCGGCAACTGAATAACCTTATTCATACAGTGCTTTCATTAAAACATATCTGATACTATTACACGGCTCTGTATTGTATGAAGTGCTAGAGAAATATAAGTGACTTGAAGGTGACTGGAATACTTGATCCTGATTGGTCAGTCACAGCTGTCTATGGTTAAAGACTGCTAAGCTTTATAACTGATTGTCTCAGTCACCTAATTTCCTGTTTAGTTTTGAAACCCATATCACTCCACTGTCTTTCCTGAGATAAGAAATTATTTAAATAATTTTTTTAAATGATTTCATTTTATCTGCCACAGTCATTATCTCAAAATATGAGATTTTTTAAAACGGCTAACATTTCTATAAGGACTCAAATAATGGAGTTTATATCATAGTTCATACAGGTACACACACACACACACACAAATTGCTGCAGTGCCGCTGTGAGGGATGACTGGAATCAATTTAAGGTAATTCTCACAGCTGTCCAAGTTCAGCAGCGATTTACAGTCTTCCACACAACTCCATCCATCAAGTATCCTCTGACCTCAGTGCCTCACAGCGTCTAGCATTGAGCCAGAAAGATCCACACAGATCACATGCAGAATTAACTCCCACACACACTTGCAAACACACAGGATGACGAATGAATGAGCAATTGTTAATGTGATCCATATCGACAGCATCTTGTTTCTTCTTACATCTGTCCCAACGGCAAGTAGCTGTTTTTCATATGACACACATCCCACACACAGCCGCACACGCAAATAGCCTAATGCACTTTAAGCGTTTGATTATCTTCTCTCATAAACCTCTTTTAAATGCAACATGGTGCAGAACATGTGTGGTGCATCAGAGATGTACTGTTTTTCATTGCAGTCTCATTAGACGACAGCACCCGCGCACATGGGCACCCGACAGCATGTCCCAACAAAAAACTGATTCAGACATTCTCAACGAAAATGAAATGTACTTCACACTAATGTGGTGGAACGCTAAATGCTGGCCTGGCATTTCAACCGCATCATTTAATGCTTTTCTGGAGTGTTTACGATATATGATAGCTGGTAATATCTCGGCGACGGATTGAACATTTGTTGCCGAAACCAAAAGTGCGAGCGGACACTCTTGATTGACAGACGTGTGCAAACAGACGTAAGGATGGGGCTTGCGCTTTAAAAGTGAGAAGCTCATCAAGTTTGGTGTCCATTACGGATATAATCCCCTAAGTATGAAGGGAAATTCCATCCTCGTTTTAATAGCGGTCCCATCAGCCCATCGCTCTGTTTATTTTTAGTCTGTCTCTCGGCCTACAGAGATGTACACAAACCAAAACCGTGATTCTATACGCTAATGGCGAGCAAAGCTCTCGGCAGCTTTACCAAACTGCCGCTTGCCGAGCGGTTTTTTAAACCATGTGGGATTTTAACAACACTCCGGGAAAGTCAGATCATCTGTTTTTCCGACATAAACTGACATTTTCCAGCACCAGATATGTCATTAAACAAAATTAGGGAGGAGAATGTTTTGATGAGGTATATTTTCACCAAATAATATTGAGAAATTTGTAAGCAAGCAGTTTTCAGGCTGACATGGATGACAAAAGGATGGAAAATTACCATGAGCTGCTTACGTCCCTTCCTCCAAATGACAATGATGAGTCGTTTAAGTTTACTGTCGCTGTGAGCGGCAAACGTCATAAATCTGATCGTGTTTAATCTATACAACACACTTATCAGAACAAGGCTTTAATGCAGAGTAAATGTTTGTACGCGGGTCCGGCTGTGTGGATCCAGATGCTGAGGGGCCCAGCTAGTTGCGCAGGGACTGGCTCCAAACATATCGGATAACCGTAGGGTGAGCGCTGGCTTTGGAAAGTGTTGCTGCTCCAACACTACCATGAAATACAAATGGTCTCAAGCCTCAATTATATGGGTTTCACTTAAAAAACACTCAGAGCTAAGAGAACAGATAAACGCTGTTTTCTCCAGCACTTTTGGTTTTACAGAGAGACAGCTACAGTCGTTTTTGCAGCATTTCATTTCCTTTGATTGTAGTGACCACATGCACATGAATTTGATGAGCTGTCCATAAGTACACAGCAAAAACAATAGTTTCACACTGTCCAATAGGCTAATTGTCACAGAGGGAAGTTTAAAAGGGTTATATCTAAATATTATAACTTTCAAAATATGAGTCAATTTCCAACTACCAAAAAAATAAATAAATATATAAAGTTTTCTCTGAAAGTGGTTTTATATTGGTTTAATAGTTCAAAACAGTCTTCAAAGTTACATATCTAAGAAAACAAGTGAATATTTAGTTATGATTTAGGTGAATTTTATCATCCAAACTAACTTGTGCTTTTTTATCCAACATGTGCTTTGAGTTAAAATGTTATTTTCCCCCTCAATTTTCTCCTTTTTTTTCTCATAACAGGTTTAGTATTTAAATTATGTGACAACTTCCCGCAAAAAAAAAAACTTTTTTTATAGGGCAAAAATGGTGGAAATATTTAATACATATATTTTGCAAATACATACATACATACATTTTGAAAAACTGAAATTGACTAGAAGCTAAAAAAAATATTCAATGGAAAAAGTAGAGCCACTCCCTCCACCTTTATTCTTTTTTTTTTTTTTTACTGCAAAGTATGCCACAGAATTGCCATTAGACATGTATAACTAAACGTACAATCCAAATCAAAATAAAAAATGTGCATTTTGCTCTTCAGGATTAATGTTTATTATTTAATTACTTTTATTAATAGTTTAATTCACAAATGCAACAAATAAGACCGCAGAAAATCATTTCTGCACTAATAGTGTTATAGTAATTCTTGGCAGGTCTCTTTGTTAGAGCCATCTCAGTGCCAACTTCAGCATGCCATTCTATGTACCCAGTGGGCACTGAGACAAACAACCATAGCTGAGCCATTATAATGCCAGCCAATGACGACAGCCGTTAAATTTCTGCGGTCTCCTCTGTCTAATTAGGAACTAAATAGATCAGGCTGCAGCCGCTGCCCAGCACAAGACTGGTGGAGGTACAGCACCAGCGGATGGCCTGCCTGCAACATGTGCTTTCAAGTATCTGCTTTCTCAAAACATTTGAGAATGCCAAGATTCCATATTGCAGATCCACCATTTAGGACAAGGTAAAATGCCCGCAATTTTTAAGAAAGCACTTACGTTGTTCCAAACTAGTATTATTTTCTTTCTTGAAACTTCAAAAATGACCCAAAATCACAACAAAATATCATAAAAGTGGTCCATGTGACTTTTGCATTACAATAAAGTCCCCAGTACATTGCTGTGTATAAGTTGGTGGGTTAACCCGAGATCAATCTGATTCATAACAAATGGTTAAGAGTCTTTTGTGAACTACATCACTGAAAAGATCTGACTCAAAGAATCAGATTTTTTACCCGAACACACAACTAAAGAAGATGGCAAGATCTACAGTAATTAATGACTTGGAAGATGGCGCATTTAAGTTTGGACAACTTTAATGATACAGCACTTTTAGAATACTTTTGCACCCTTTTTTGAATCTTAAAAACTCCAGCTTACTATCTTTGGAAATGCATAGAAAGGAGCGACCAGCAGTCTTAAAATGTTCTC